ATAATAATAATAATAATAATAATAATAATAATAATAATAATAATAATTTATTTCTAAGTTTTAAGAATCTCCTAAGTTACAGCATAGGCCATTATAGCCACAAATGGAAGCAGCTATAATGGTTCACCATTGGATAAAGTTTCAGTTGCCTGGGCTGCCTCCTTGTTTTTAGCATTGAAAAAGAACCAGTTTAGGCAACTCAGATATTAACTGTTCAGAATTTATATTTTTACAAAATAATAGGGAGGTACTTAATTGTTTCTGAAAAGTTATGTAGTTAACCAGCTGAACAAAAAGGAGATTAATGTCTTCTGCATCCTCTCTATAAGACATATAGTTAAGGTTTTTTCATTTCTAAGTTAAAATCCAAAATAAAGCAAAATGGAATACAAGAGACAAAGGGGAGTCTGTCTGTTGCCAGTCCCAGGCTTAATTTAAACTTGATGCATGCTTTGCAGTAATCACAACTTTCATGTGACTTCACTCATGTTTCATTTAAATGAGTTACTTAAATTTATTACACTGGCATATAATGGAGGCATAAGTCTGCTTAGACTGTACAAAGATCTCATGAGGACTCTTATATTAAAATATCCATTTGAAATTCTGTGCAGTTAGAGTTTGTAGACGTGCAGAATCATCTTGATATAGGATTGTGCAGAAAACCTTTTTGGGAAACATTCTTACAACATGCAAGAATTATGACAGCATAGCTGAAATGGTTTGTTAGTGCTCTTAATTCCTCTTTTAATTCCTCACCTAACTTTGGGTTCATCTCTCCACTCTACATGACAGCAAATTCTGGTTTTTTATTTAGATACTTGATATCTGGGATTTCAGTCCAATTTTGGAGGTGCCCTTGAAATATGTAATACAAATTCCAAAATAAATTACATGGTGAATTAATAAAAAACTATCCTGAGATGTCTTGAGGTTGTTACATTGTTTTAGGGTCTAAGAATGACAACTTTTGGGACTTTCTGTAATATTCCAGTACCATAGAATGAAAGAAAAGCTCCAGATTTTTCGAAAAGCTTTCAGCAAGTTTCAAATTGTTTCTTCATCATGAATAAAACTGAAATTTGAAATAAATTGTGAAATCCTAGGTGAATTCTGTGATGGATTAGAATTAATCCATAAAAATCTATTATTGATGTATTGTAGTGGTACTCTAGGACAGGGGTGTCAAACTGGATTTGTTCGAGGGCTGGATCAGCATTATAGTTCTCTGCAGGCCGGTGTGGGGTGTATGGGATGGATGCCTCCTGCAGCACCCTGCTGGCCAAAATGGGGCATGGGGGAATCTGCGTGTGGCCTCACTGCACCTCGTTTTTGCCCTCCGTGGCCTCCTGCAGCACTCTGCCAGCCGCATGGCCCTTTGGGGCCTGTTTTGGGCCAGTTTTTTGGGCCAGTTTTGGCCTGGTTTTGGCCCGGTTTCAGCCAGCAGAATGCTGCAGGAGGCCATGGAGAGTGAAAACGAGGTGCTGGGGGAGGGAGGGCTGTATGCAGCTGGTTTTATCCACAAGAGGCATAGCAGGACAGCCCCTTGATATTTCCAGGCCCTGCCCCCTGGGCTGGATTTAAGCACCCCATGGGCCAGATTCAGCATGTGGGCCTTGAGTTTGACAGGTTAATCTGTCCAGTGAAAAACATCTTGTTTTCTTCTTAAGATTTTTAAAACTTTGGTTGAGAAAGGTTTAGCACCTTAGTTTTCTTATTTCTTGTTCTCTAATTCCTTGTTCTCTGTATTTTTAAAAGGAAAACACAATGGGACTAAATTCTGTATAACTGTACATAAATTGACTTACATAAATTATACTAAATACTTTACTTTTAGTAATGATGTCTAGAGTGGTTGCTGAGAAATTTAATTATAAAAGAAATTAAACTCCTATCACCTTCAGACTGAATCCTGCAACTCAAGCATTAGGCAGGGCCATATTTCTCAACAAAATACTCTATAGTTACAAGACTACTGTTTACAATCTGAACTCCATATGTACATTGCTTTCCTTTCATCTGTGCTCACATTTGGTATTGTGAAGAATAAAAGAGGTCCTATGTTATTTGAAAGGAACAATGTATTTAAACATTTTTGAAATCAGAACTTTTTCTGAGAGAAGCTGTGTCAGTGAGGTTAAGTGAGTGGATGTTAAAGAGGATGGATGATTTAAGGTTTATTTCCCACTGCAGTTTTATGATTAAAATTACTGTTTAAAGCTATATGCAAAAACATTTGATCTTAAGGGTTAGATATACAGTATTTTCATGGCTTCCAAGATTACAAAGGAGAACTATTCAAAGTTATGGCAGTAAGCAGGGAGTCTTGCCATCCAAAGAATGATAGTTCAATTACAAGGAAGACTTTAGAAAACAATTCAAGGGAAGTTGGATATAGTTGCATAAAATTGAATGATTTAAAGGGACTATATATATTATTTGTAGAGTAACTAATTTTTTCTGTGATTGGTTCTATTTTGATTCCCATTTCATGATAATATAGTATTTGATACAAAAATAATAATAAATGGCACACTCTTCAGACTTATATATTATTATTTAGAAGTAGATCTAGTTGACTTCACTACAAAATGAACTTGAGAAATATTACATAGTATTGCAAGATTAATTGTAATGTCTTTTAACTTGTTTGGAATATTGGAACAAACATTTAAGCATGGACCAGAATATCTTTACTTTGTGTAAACATCTTTGTGTTTTAAAGAGAAAGGCCACTAATTTTAATAGGACTTTTTCTCACATACATTATAGCATTCTTAGACTACAGTCCAATTCATGCTTAACTGGGTTCAATTTACTTTTCAGTAAACAAGTATTAATTATTTACAAATAAAAAACCTCACTTGTAAAAATTAACATACCCATGGTTTCTTACTAATGCCCAAAAGGCTATTGCTAACACATTTTAAGCATTTTAACTAGACTGTAAATTTAGAAATATTAATATAATATAGTAATATATAGTTGTGTATATCAGATAAAATGATATTTTTGTAGGAAATCTTTACAAAAAAACAATTATGGGAGGAACAATTATGGAAGAACATACCTAACTGGAAGAGAATTCTTGTACAAAAAATCTTCAATATTTGATTAAAAAAACCTGACTTCTAAATTTCATATTTTTTTACAGCACAATAATTTCCTTTAACAATGCCTTAAATGTAGGAACTTACGGATTGAAGCTTTTAAAGCTGTTTAACATTGTGACTTTTTATTCTCTTAGGAGTTACATGCAAATCTTATCCATTTCTTTAAAAAAAGTCACCACATTTTTTCTATTATTGTCAACATTAGATACCACTGAATCCCAACATAAAATTAGACTACATCTAAATTAGCATCCAAATGGAATCTTCCAGATGCAGTCACATGATTGCCAATTTGCAATCTCCACTGCTGGCTTCCCACAAGCAAAGTAAGTGGGAAACAAGTAGGGAAGATTGCAAATTGTCCTTGCCACTTTCTCAAGAGGTTCTGCTGCGGAATATAAGATTCTAGGGATGTTATATGCCATAGGATACTCAGGGTGCAGAATCCTCTTCCCTACTCTGCTGCACTTGCATCTCACAGCAGCACCCTCTTTCTAGCACTCATGTCCTTGCATAGCACTGTAGCATCCCCTCCTTAGCATACATACACCTGCTCCAGCTCTTTCCCCCAGACCTCAGTACTTACTAATATGTTTGCTTGCAAGCTGTCTGGGACTTGTGACTTCCTGCCAGCTTCCCATTAACTTTGCAAGTTACAGTCATGTGAAGTCCTCGCTTAATGATCTGTGATCCTTGCTTATCAAGGGCAATGGGTACTGCATCACCATCTCTAAGCAATGAAAGTTCTAGTCCCAGTTGCCATTATTAAAGGAGGATGACAGGCAGGCAGGCAGGCACATATGCTTGTGTGTGTGTATCTATGTATAGACATATAGGGCTCACGTTCATAAACAAAAAGATTTGACATTCTAGGACTGTTATTTTAAGCATTATCCCCAATAATTACACTCAGAGAGATTTGTTTCCTCTACAGGTTCTGATAAAAAGTGATAAATCTCTGAATATAACAATACAAGCCAAATATACCTTGTTGTCCAAAAAGGGTACAATATTTGGATCTGTTTATATTTAACATGGCCAAATAGACCTCTAGCTCCACAATATATTAATATTTTAGTTGCTCCTCTGCAAGGAATTAATTGTTGTGAAACTAGTTTAACAACAAACTCAGAATAAGAAATAAAGATAACTGAACTTCCATTTTTGACAATATGATCTTATTCTCAGTCTTTTTCTTACCAGATTTTTTTTAAATATTGAATTTTAAATCAGTGATTACAAACAAGGCATCAAAATAAACATTATGTTGTGATATCTGAT